ACGCTGTCAGTCAACTGAGGAAAAAATGGCTAATATAAAACAATATAATGTACACGTATGTATAACGTAACACAATCATGCCGATTACATCATCGTTCCTTGCCGAATATAAACATGTAGCACGTGCATTCTTGTGAATTACAGTATATTAACACTGTCACAGCAGGAACATATTTTTTGGCTGATGATCAGTGTAATATTCCTTGGCGGAGATACAGATAAAAAAATTAATATTCGACCGCCAGGCGTCATGCATCAAGCTTGATATATTCATTAAGAATAGCGTTACTAAGTTCCCAGCTGAAACTTTCCAATAAGGACAGGACAGCTCTGATAGATATCTGCCTGTTCGTCGTGACACCATACGTGAAACAGTGGTTGTAATGCACTTTACTGGTAAAAGCACCTAACCAGGATTTATGCTTCTTAGGCAAAGCTGCTTACGAAAGAATTAACAAACCCGCTTCAAAAGAAGCTCTACATAAGAGACTAAAGTAAACATTGTTCCTAATTTAGCCAAAGAATGTCCCACACACACCTCCCGTCGAAAGAAGAACTGTCTGGCCCAGTTTATATGGTAAGTCTGACGAATAAATGTTCCTTTGTCTTCTTTTAATGTTTCGATATAATATGCTATTAGAATAAGTCAGCATACACTGCGATTCGGGCAGTAGATGGCACCTTATACTGTCTTGTTTCGGTAGAGCTTATACCCCACCGGTTAGTTGCTGTGCTTTCGTCCGTTGTCTTGACCTGAGGCCAAGCCTAGACGATGCTGATGAGCTGCCAAAAAGCACAAAACCTCCGTCCATAGTTGACTGTCCGTGGTCGGTAGGTTTTAAAATCCATACATGGTTCCCCTATTCACTTTCAAATTCAAAGTTTTGTCGATAGTCGGCACAGGTTATCGTTACCCGATTGCAATATTTATTTTTTGGGTTGTTAGAGTCAAATAGGAGAAAATTAGAGGGTATACGTATCACAATTCCAACCAAAAATTGTTTGCCCTTGTAGGCTGGGACACCCTAGGGACCATTGATTATTACGCTTAAAGTATTCCATCCATGAGAATCGTAAATTGTTTAGAAAAATTTAACAAGCAACATTTTATACATAAATGATTTACCTGCCATATGCTACAAAGCTGTATTCCATCAAGGGTTGATTGAATATAATAAATTATACTCGGAGATAAAAGACCAGAAAACTTTGACAAAATTTAAAGTAAAATTGAGAAATCACTTGTTAAATCTACAATTACAGTGAAAGCTCTCCTTGCGGACAGCTCCTATAAGCGGACATCTCTTTTAACCGGACAAAGTTCCTGGAACCGAATTTCAGCCATCAATTTTCAATGTTAAATGCATTCCGATAAACGGACGCTCTTATAAACGGACGCGGACACTAGATTTTCCTGTATGTGATCAAAAAATCTCCCATAAGCGGACGCGAAACTCTAATACCCGGACGATTTTTTAGTTCCGCTTATTGCAATGCACATATCTACATACATAAAATTCGGTAATTCCCCGATTTATATTAGGTGATTCCCCATTTACGCATTTCGTTGGGTAGCCTGTATGTAATCTTGTGGCTTGTCTTCAGTTCAGGCAAATTCGTAGTTGATTGAGTTACGTATTTTATTATTGTAACTGTAAAATGGCACCAAAAAAAAGGATGCTCTCGTTAAAGGAAAAGATGAAAGTTGTTAACGTATTAGACAGAGAAAGTGTTTCAGTTCGTCATTTGGCAAAGAGGTTTAATATTGGGAAAACGCAAGCAGCTGAAATTGCCAAAAATAAGGAAGATATCAGGAGTAAATGGCAATCAGGAACTAATATAAATCAAAAGAAGGATTTTTTAAAAAAGGAAGGTTTTGCTATAGACAAAACATGTTTTGAGTGGTTTGTGAAAGTTAGAAGTCAGAACATTCCAATCTCAGGGCCGTTAGTGAAAATGAAAGCTAAAGAAATCGCCACTACTTTGGGCTATAATAATTTCAGTGCGTCCGACGGGTGGCTGCAAAAGTGGCGCAAGAGACATAGTGTGAGTTTCAAATGCATATCTGGCGAAGCTGCTGCAGTAGATCAAGTTGATGTGTCACAATTTTTGGAGAAACTTCCGTCCATGTTGCTTGGCTACAAACCAGAAGATGTGTACAACGCAGATGAGAGTGGACTTTTTTTTCGCGCATTGCCCGACAAAACTCTGTCCTTTAAAGGAGAAACATGTGTGGGTGGAAAGTTGTCTAAAGATAGACTAACCATTTTATTCTGTGCAAATATGGCCGGTGAAAAATGCGATTTGATTGTGATCGGGAAAGCGGCTCGTCCCCGTGCTTTAAAAAACGTTGCTATTAAGGATCTACCAGCGACTTGGAAATCCAACAAAAAGGCATGGATGACCCGAGAAATCATGTCTGAGTGGTTAGTCGAATTCGACCGGAAAATGAGAATCCAAAAAAGGCAAGTTCTTTTATTTTTAGACAATGCATGCTCTCATCCTCGTGATATGAAAATGAAAAATGTGAAAATTATATTTTTACCGCCAAACACAACTTCTGTTTGTCAGCCCATGGATCAAGGTGTCATACAGAACTTTAAATTTTATTATCGGCACTTGATTTTAAAAGATATTTTAACAAAAATTGACGATGGTCAAAGCTTATCTGAGCTTACAAAGTCTATCAATGTGTTAGAAGCTTTGTATTTTATAAAAACAGCATGGAATAAAGTAAATTCCTCTACAATTAAAAACTGTTTTGGCAAAGCTGGATTCAGAAAAAGTGAATGTAGCTCAGAATTTGCTGAGCAAAATTATTGCGATGCTGAAGACGATCTGCCCTTAGCGACACTTGCTCAGTTACTGCGACATGCCAAACATTTAGGAGTAGCAGATCCCCAGAAAGTAGATGATTTCCTGGCCATAGACAATAACATAACAACAGAAGAAAATGCCATTGGCAACTTTTCGAATTTGGATGTAGAAAGCCCAGGCCAACTTGAATATGGTAGTCCAAACGACTCAGAAGAAGAAGTGGAACTGGTGGACTCACTAAGCGGTTCAAAAACGATAAATTCATATGGGGAAGCTCTAAATCATATTTCTATATTGAAAAAATTTGCTAAAGATGATTTCACTGCATTTCAACATTTGAAAAATTTAGAAAGTTATTACGAAAATTGTCTCCTTCAGCAAAAGATGGTGAAATTTCGTCAGACAAACATTTTAAACTTTTTTCAACAAGTTAAAGAATAATGTTTTTTTTGAAATTATCGTACCATGTATTGAAGCATTTATGTTTTTGTATGCGTATATGTACATATATTATACAGATATATAGCATAAATACATACTTTAAAAATGTGGCGAGTTTCTGTTTCATTTTTCTCATGATTATAATACCTCATTTCCTCATGATTATATACCCCGTTATTTATACTCTATACTTACATACTCTCTTTTAAACGGACACCTCCCATAAGCGGACAAAAGTTACGGAACCGTGAGTGTCCGCTTATGGGAGCTTTCACTGTATAGGTTGCCCAGCATTTACATCATACACCATATGGCTTGAATTTACTAGTTCTAAGTTGTTTACAATTGTTCTGTTTATGTAGCCAAATGTGCTAAATAAATCTTTCTATTGGGTGGGCCATTTAAAAGTTTCGATTTAAAAATAAAATAAAACAAAAACGGTTTGAGATATTGCCAAATTTATTTTTTTGTTTTGAAGTACAATTGTTCCGCTCAGAAATGAAATATTACTTCATTCAAATGGCTGCCGCGGCTGGCCTCACAGTAGCCCATTCGATCGGACCAATTTTCGAGCACTTTTTCGAGTGTTTGGGGCCGTATCTCGTCAATGGCATCACGAATGTTGGCCTTCAAATGGTCAATTGTCTCTGGATGGTCGACATAACACTTGTCTTTAACAGCGCCCCACAGGAAATAGTCCAATGGTGTCAAATCGCAGCTTCTTGGCGGCCAATTGACATCACCATTTCGACTGATTAAACGGCCATCGAAGGTTTCGCGCAATAAGTTGATTGTGGCATGCGATGTGTGACAAGTTGCACCATCCTGCTGAAACCAAACATTCTCCACATCAATACCATCAAGAGCAGGAACAAAAAAATCAGTTATCATGGTGCGATAGGTGTTTCCATTGACAGAAACGGTTGCGCCGTCCCCGTCTTCAAAGAAATATGGGCCAATGATGCCTCCGCTCCACAATCCACACCAAACAGTCACTCGCAAGGGATGCATTGGCTTCTCTAAGACCTCGTGTGGGTTTTCCGAGCCCCAGATACGGCAATTTTGCTTATTGACGTAGCCACCAATATGAAAATGAGCTTCGTCTGAAAAGATTATTTTTTTCGCAAAATCGACATCATTGATTAGTTGCTCGTTGGCCCATGTAGCGAAGGCAGAACGAAGTGGATGGTCACGCGGCTTCAACTCTTGAACCAATTGAACTTTGTAAGGCGTCATACCGAGATCTTTCCGCAAAATTCGTCGTAAACTGGTGCGGGAAATGTTCAATTCTTGGGAACAATGACGTGTTGACGTTGATGGATTTTCACGCACACTCGCAGCCACAGCATCGATACCTTCGGGTGTACGCACTGTACGAGCACGCTGACGTGTTGGAGCATCAACAATGAAACCAGTTTCACGCACTTTATTAATAAACTTGCGTATACCGGGCGCTGTTGGTGCTTCGTTGCGACCGAATTTTGAACGGCATTTTCGTGCAATTTCTGCCCAATTGTCTTTGTTTTGGAAATAAATTTCCAATATTACCCAACGTTGCTCAAGCGTAAATCGATTCATTTCGTTCAGCGGAGATAATATACTGAATTTTATGACAAATCAGATTGACATAAGTATTGTCAGCGTCAAATTAACACGTGGTTCAAATCGAAACCGATAGATGGCCCACCCGTTACTACTACTACTACTACTAATTTTCTAAATTTTTTTTCAGATAATCTTACCGATGCAAGGTTCAGCACTGACTGCTTCATTTTGGCCAATCCCTGCCTCGTAATTCCTAATACTTCGCCAGTATGTGTCATTTGTGCTGCCAGCAGCATTATGTGTCGATAATCTACACTCATACCGTGGTTTTCCATCACCATTTTGATTTCCGACATTATCGTCTCTCTAAAACAAAAAGATTCATATTGAACATACCTTTACTCATCCCACAATGTCAACTAGGGTGTTACACAGAGATTGGCTTGGCTCCGACATTGTTTCTATTACATATCCATACATTACCCAAATGCTTGTTCCTGAAGTTGTTGTATTCAGTATATAACTTCTTTCCGTTCAACTGTTTGTACACGCGTTAAAGAATACCTCGGTACAAGTCCGCCAACGGGCCACTAGGTCTATTTAAAATATACGCAAAAAGAGGGTGGTAGACAAGAACCAGTCGACTGAGGCGGTACCAACCGCTAGCTTTTTCCAGTGTCTTAAGAATGTCCGCATGTTTCCACCCCTAAGCTACGTATAGTCAACGCCAAACAAAGTGGCGTGCACGTCATCACGATAAAAATTCCCCGACCTAATGCCTAGGTTTCTATCACAAACAATTGCTCTATTGCAGTTTCATATTAATGTGATATATAAATTGTAAAATGCTCATTACTCTCTTATTATGGTTAATAGTCATATAAACATTGTTATTAAAATATCACATAAGTTGCTTTCTGATAAATTTAGACGCATTATGCGAAATAAAATGTTTTGCAAACGCTCCAATCACTTATCGACATGTAAACGCACTAAACCGATTTCGCAGCGTTGACACATTGTCACCTTGAAACTTATTTAAACTGGGAACTGACATTTGTATTAATTTTGACACTGAATCAATTTGTGGCATTTCAAATCTTTATAAATCCTTTGGCCCCGCATTCTGTAAATCAACAACTGTTTGTTTCAAAACAAAATTATTCATTTTACGAGTAGATAAAGGCAATTTTGGTATATAAAGATGCCCAAACAGTTAAATAGTCGGTGTAAGGAACTCGTGGCCTCGTTAATGCACTACTTTGAGCAAGAAAGGGACAACAACGGGCCTTTGTTGCCTTTAAATGCTGTTCAAGAGGTAGGTTACTAATAATTATATGTAATGTATATTAATAATAGTGAAATTTTATTTCATTTTTTGTAGCGTGTTGCTGCTGCTTTAAAAATTAGTTTAAGGACAGTTAGTCGTATTTCCGAGGGTGTGAAAAGTGATGCAAATTTAGAATCGCCCAAGAAAAAGCGGAGTTATATTAAACGTGTAACCAACACAGCGACATTGGATACAAGTGCCATTCGAGAAGTGATCTATAATATGTATCACAAAAGTAAGATCTTATTATAATAACTTATCAGAAATTTGCATTAATTTGTTAACTAAATTATAATGTCATATTACACATGGTTTCAGAAGAACAAGTTACGATACAAACTTTATGGTCTCGATTAAGAGATAGGGCATTATTTGATGGTAGTGCCACGTCTTTAAGGCGGTTGCTTAGAGATCTTGGATTTAAGTGGCTTAAGGACAATCCGCGACGAGGGCTCATGGAACTACCAAGTATAGCTTTGAAAAGGGTGGAATTTCTAAGGCAATACAATCAAGCCAAGGTTGAGGCCTTATACCAGTTTGTCTTCCTCGATGAAACTTGGATATTTCAAAATGGGACCATAGGTTGCTCTTGGCAAAATGGAAACCAAAAAAGCGTGAAAGCTATTAAAACAGATGGTAAAAGGTATGTACTTTTACACAATTTGCACTATAAAATTTAAAACTAATATATTTTAGATACATTATATTACATGCTGGAAATGAAAATGGGTTTATTGAGGGTAGTGAAGCGATATTTTCTTCGAAAACAAAATTGAGCGATTACCATGGAGAGATGAACCAGGACAATTTTTTGAAATGGTTTCAACATCAGTTATTAGAAAAATTGGAGAGTCCATCTATGATTATACTGGATAACGCCCCTTATCACAGCATGATATTGAACAAAGTGCCCAACAATGCATGGACAAAAAAAAATATCCAAGACTGGTTGACAAATCAAAACATACCATTTTTAAACACAATGTTTAAAACAGAGCTATTGAGTATTGTTGCTCGGTACATAATGCTTCTTAATTATATATATTTTGGTCGACAGTTTATATTTCTTTTGTTTATTCCTATTCTTAAAATAACTGCTTTTTTAGAAACAAACCACCTAAAATATACGTGATTGATGAATTGGCGGAACAACATGGGCACAAAGTTCTTCGTCTGCCTCGTTACCATTGTATATTTAACCCTATTGAGTTAATTTGGGGCATAGCAAAAGGTTACTATAACAGACATATTGGTAGAGATGGTAACAGTGAAAAAGACTGTTTGGATATGTGGAACGAGGCTCTATAAACGGTTACCCCAGACATGTGGAAAAATAGTGTTCGACATACTGAGCAAGAAATTTTTAAATGGTATGAAAGAGAACGAATTTTTGATCGACCAGACATCGAACCTTTAATAATCAACTTTGAGAGTGATGAAGATTCAGATTCAGACAGCGCTGAAGAAAGAAACTCCGACTAACTTTATTGTACAGAAAAAGCTTACACCAGTAGCTTACCTAATTTTAGAATGCATTTTTCTGTATGAATTCTGTAAAATAAATACCATGCATAAAATTTGGAGGACCCCATTTGGATTTTTATTCAGTACCTTTAAGCTATCAATTAAATATGGTAGTTTCATAGTGTCATCTGATCAATAATTGTCATACTTAATGATTATGCAAGTACAGATCTATAATTTTATTATACTATTATTTTTGTTCTCATTTGAGGTTAATATTGCTTATAAACCTAGATATGTAAATAATAAATTTTATTATTTTATAAAAAGTTTGGCAACAATGTAAATTTTTCAACGCACCCACCTTGATGACGTGCACGCCACTTTGTTTGGCGTTGACTATAGTCGGTTATCTTCCCCAAAAAAGAAATTAATGATGTTGGATCCCTTGAGCGGTAAGAATTCACTCCACTCTCGGAATGTCCGAGTGGAGGGTGGGCTCGAGGGAACAACATCGAAGATAAAATTTGTCGATGCAGTTCATCACTACCTGCAATCTAATCGTCCCGCCATGCTTATCTTGATGCCTGATTCTGTACCGGTTAACCATCTTAGCATCCCGAATTACGAGGTGCGCTCCAATCTGAGAAACAACGGAGGAGTTGTGGATTTAGTCCGCGGCAGTCTCTCCTGTTCCAGAGGCGTTGTCACGTGCCAAAATCACGTAACGTTTTTTTACTATTTTGATCACTTACCAGTAATTTGTATTTCTCTCTGTTGATTATAGATTGCCGATTCCAAAGTAAAATTTTTGTAGAGTTATTGTATTTAATTTTGTAATAAAAATATTTTTCCATATTTTTGTCGTCTCATTTTTGGTCATAAAACAATATGAAGGTAATTTAATGCTAGTATGTAGTACCTCAGCAAACACAAATTGTCATTCGTATCCTCACGACTGTAAGCAAACTATACGAGAACAAAAATAGTCGCCAATAAAGAATAAAAAATTATTGCGCTTTTTAAAAACTATTAAGAATGTTTCCAAACTTTTGTCCGTTACTGTATTTGGCTACAGCCCGTAACTAACTATGGTATCGCATTTCATCTAAATACGTCAATCAATGGTCCAAGCTCACCTAGCTGCTTCTATCCCTAGCGTCTGGTATACTTCCATAATATTATTTGAAAAGGTTTTATTTCCCTGTACACCATACGTTGCCATCACCTCTCGCAAATTATCGCCTTCGACACAGAGACTGTGTACTGGTTTACCTCCTTTATCTTCTCTTGCTATCACTGCCCTATTCACTGTTGGCAGTCCCTGTATAAACAAAAAAATATGACGTACCGAAAAGATAAACCATGAGATACGTTATAATTTGATCGCTAAAAACATGTACTACACAAAACACTGGGCGTTTCCAGAATAAAATTCTGGGGGGACTTAGCAATTATGTTCAGGAACATGTTCGTCTCGAGGGTAGTGTCAGAGATTGAGCCCCAAAGCCAGGTTAGACAAGTTACTAAACAACACTAAAAAGGAATGCAATACAATAATTTAATTACTGAACAAAGGAAAAAGATATGGATAATAAATTTTTCAAATCAGACAACAAATAAAGAACTATACTAAGTGACATATAAATCCGAACACCCAGTTTAAATGGTTTTATTTTAATAAAATTTTGTATAAGTACTTAGTGAAGCATAATAAGTAAATGATAAAAATTTCAAAATGATTGCACTGCTTTAAAGCCCTTTGACCTTTAATAATGTGTGGATGCACCCTGATGTGCTACGCATTCTCCAACGCGCCTAGGCATGCTTCTGATCAGGTGGTCAATGTCCTCCTGTGGTATCTCATTCCAGGCAACCACCAACTCCTCTCGAAGTGCTTCTAGAGTCTGAGGAGGACGTTGCAAATTGAGCAATCTCCTACCCATCATATCCCACACGTGCTCAATTGGGGATAAGTCGGGAGATCTTGGTGGCCATGGTAACAATGTGACATCATTATGTTGAAAGAAGTCTATTGTGACTCTTGCAACATGTGGTCGGGCATTATCTTGTTGGAAAGTTGGATCTGCCAGGGTGTCAAGATAGGGTAAAAGATGGGGTTCTAGAACTTCGTGGATATAACGCTGCGCGTTCATGTTACCTCTGATGAAGATTAAAGGTGACCTGGAACCATAAGCTATAGCACCCCAAACCATAACTCCAACAGTGTGATGAACATGTCTTCCAACAAAAAACTGTGGATTCCTCCTTTCACCGCGTCGCCTTCTAACCCTGGCACGATCATCGTGCATGCCTAAACAAAATCGAGACTCGTCACTAAAGACAATACTGCTCCATTCCTGATCCCAGAGTGACCGTTGTCTGCACCACTCAAGGCGATTACGTCGGTGTTCTCGAGTTAAAGGGAGGACCGGTATGAAAACAAGGCAAAACTTCGCATTCGTCGGTAAACACTTCGCATGCCAATATTTCTTCCGTGTTCTGCAAACCATTCATTTGCAATGGACCTGGTAGTGGAGAAACGGTCCCTTAAGGCCAATAATCTTAGGCGGCGATCTTCACGGTCTGTTGTTCTACGGCGGCGTCCAGTGCCCCTTGCTCTTTGCGTACGGCCTTCTCGAAGCCATGCCTGACAACACCTAACCACAGTGCCTACACTTCTTTGCACTCTAACTGCAATTGCCCGAAATTGAGGCGTCTTTGAAGATCACAAAGACCTCAATTCAAAAAATTTTACATGAAGAATTAGGAGTAAGAAAATTGGTTTCTCGTTGGATACTCCACCCATTGTTAGTGGTGATGAATCGTGGATTTACTGTTATGGACCAAAAAATAAGCGACAGTCGGCTGTTTGGGTGTTCCAAGGTGAAGAAAGGCCCACATATTGCAACAGTTCCTCTTAATGAGCAAAGAACTGTTACTGCGGATTGGTATACCACCATTCGTTTGCCAAAAGTCATCACCGAGCTTCGAAAAATCAAACCGAAAGAAGAATCATCCCTATGCTACAAGGATCCTTCAACCGTGCGATGTGGCGGTATTTAGACCTATTAAGATGGGATGGAAAAAAGCTGTTAGGGAATTTAACGAGAAAAACCAGGAGAGCTCGTAAACAAACTCACTTTTGCTCCACTTCTAGAAAATGTAAAAAATATCGTGAAGTCAGAAACTCTGGTCAATGATTCCGTGCATGTGGCCTATTTCCTTTGAATCCAGATGCAGTTGACTCTAGTAAGTCTCTGGGGAAGGAAAACTTTCCACAAAATACATTAGTAGATATGAAATTACCAAGTACGGATCAAAAATCGTTTGTAAATTTAGTGGGAGAACAAATGATTGCAAAACTCAAATCATTTGATGGAACTGCAGAGCCCACAGAAGGTGTATGTGACGAATTTCGGACACTTTACAACATTTGGAGTTTTTTTGGAAAATCAGATTTTTCATCATCTACTGCAGAAGAATGTAGCATCTGTACGCTCAAAGCTATAAAAAGCTACCTGTTGTGCGACTCTTGCAACAGAACGATGCATCGTCAGTGTGTTCCAAAAGGTCACCATAAGCACCTGTTGCAATTAGGTGATGACGATTTATTCATTTGCCATGACTGTTATAAAGAGGAAAGTGAAGACGACGAAGAATGATTTAGTGAATGTTCGGGATTGAATGACAGACAATCGAGCAACAGCGATGAAGAGATGGAGATGAACAAGCTATTCGAATGGTACCAGACAGAAAAATCTAAGCATCAGTTTAACTGTAGGTCTGTTCTGATGTCTTAAAACCTTCAATAAAAAGCAATCTTTGATATGGAACAGTTTGCCTTATGTCTGTCCAACAACTCAATGTTATAATAATATTTTTTTATTCACTCAATGTACAAAGATAACAAACAATATGAGTAAATAAATATAAAATCAAAACAGGCCCAATAGAAGGCATCGCCTGTACATGGACCAATAAATTTAAGTTGAAACTGTAGAATGCAAATGACAAAAAAGGACAAAAATTAGCTACAGTAGATTATGTATTTAGTTGATGTTCGTATTTATGAGTTTATGAATTTCAGTCCTAGATATAGAATGTAGCCATTTTTTTAAATTTCTTTTGAAACAATTTCCGAAACGTAAATCTTTTAAGTCTTTAGGTATAATTTCATAAAATTTAGGCGCTAAATAGAGATATGATCGCTGCATTATAGATTTATGCGGTTGAGGAACTACTGTGCCACGAATTTTGTACCTGGTATAATGACTATGTTTAATTTTTTGGTCGGTGTTTACAAATTTATGGTAGTGAGTGATACTGTGTAAGAAATAAAGCTGTCTTATATCATACATTCGAACATCTGCGTATAATTTTTCAGTGGGATAAAGTTTCGGTTTTTTAAATATCATTTTTAGAATACTTTTTTGAAAAACATCTAAATTATAGATATGTGAGGAACATGCAGCTCCCCATGCTAATATACCATATGTGAGATGAGGCTCAATCAGTGCATGGTATAATGTTCGAAGATATTTTTCTGTCAATATATTCCCAAGGTATTTAATTTTGTAGGATACAAATCTAACTTTCTTTAAAATATAATTGACATGGATGTCCCATCGTAAGTGAGGATCCAAGACCACTCCAAGGTATTTTATGTTGGGGCACTCTATTAATTTGCATTTTTTGATCATTAATATTGAAGGAGAAATTTGTGTAATTTGGCAGATGTCTAGCATAAGATCCAAATGGTAAAAAATGTGTTTTAGAGTAGTTAATGTTTAATTTTCTACTGTTAAACCACCGAATAATTTTGATAAAATCATTTTCAATTACATTTTTCAGATCAGACCAGTCAGTGCCTTCATATAATATTGCAGTATCATCTGCAAAACTAGTTATTTTGCCAACACAATTAATTTGGAAAATATCATTTAAATATATATTGAATAACAGCGGACCTAAGACAGTTCCTTGTGGGACACCACACTTAATATACATTTCCTTACTAAATGATCCTGATATCTGCACAGATTGTGGGCGATTTGACAAATAACTTTCGATCAGTGAGTACGCGTTTCCTCTGAAACCAATTCTCTCCAATGCTTCTAATAATAATTTGTGATTAACTGTATCGAAAGCTTTCTTTAAATCAACAAAAATGCAGATTGAAGGGATTCTGTTATCAATATTTTGATGTATTTGATTTACAATTTTAGTTATTGCGTCCGATGTAGCCTTCCCTTCTGTAAATCCATATTGATTTTCACTTAAAATTTTGAATTTTGTGAGGTATCGAATCATTCTAGTAGATAAAACTTTTTCAAAAACCTTTGCTACACTGGATATTATTGATATTGGTCTATAGTTGTTAACATCTGTTTTTGTTCCTGATTTATGTATCGGTATTTATGTGTCCAGTAACTGAATTTTTTATGTGTCCAATAACTGGCATTTTTGGGGACCCCGCAGTGTTTTTTCAAATTTTCCAAAATCTGTTGTTGTAGGAAAAATTAATCGCCACCTTGTATAAGTTAGAATGTTACATTCACCGCAAAGCACACTTTTATAAAGTTAATTTTCAACCTTTATCATTGTTTTGAGTCTGAAAAAAATCTTAAGTGTCCAACAACTACCATCTTTACCCTATTATGTATTTGAGATTCCGTATTTGGAATAAATATTATTACTATAATAAAATGATTAATGTTGGCATGCAATTTATGAAGTATATATTCCCTAAATAGGACTAGAAGTATCTTATATTTTACCTTAACAACGACGTTGGGAAGTTGGTCTTTCAGCTCACTTAGGGCAAAATTCAGTCTCCTGGCATGCTTACTTTTATTCGGATGTACCGTTATGACTGAATCGTTTTCTACTCTGATATCTTGAGGTTTCAGTTTGAGTTTAGAAGCACATATACTGAAAAAATATGACGTTAATCATGTTTTTCGACAAATTTCATTATTCGTTTCATAACAATACCATTAAAATCCTTAATCTTAAATGTTTAGATAGAAGATAATTTTTATCACCTTTGCCTGATACTTTCTGCAGAAACCTCCAGTTTCAGGAGCTTTATTCTTTCTTGGTTCAACTGGATTAATAGAAAAGCTTCTGTCTTCGTATATACATCGTCTATATACGTAGATATCTGCAATTTAACTTTCGTTACCTTGATAACATATAAAAATATAAAACTTACTTCGCCTAAAGTGGTCCTTTCGATTCTACCTTTTACTTGTCTAGCAAACCATGGATCAGTGGAATTTACTAAATCTGCCCTTATGATAGGTGTACTGATGTTTTTTGTTGCGTTTATGATTTCTTTTATCCTGAAAAAGAGTTATACACTTTGTAAATATAGTTCAAACTGGCTGGAACTGTGTGTTCTCCAAGGATGATTTTTCGAAAACAAGAGTTTCAAGAGAACCTAGCAGACCCTCTATCGATGATCGCTTAACGACATCGATAGAATGTGCGAGGTAAAGGGAACCAACCCGGCGTTCCCAGAGACTGAAACACATGAGGAGACGTTGTAGCAGACGCACAACACATGGCCTACCGAGACGCTGATGAGTCGGGCCACGCGGAGGTTTAGGGTTTAGTGGGTATTAGGTGGACAACCTGGAGTCCCACACACGCCGTAGCTCGGGCTATGGTATGGTGCATAATCGCATTCCCCCCTCACCACCAAAAAAAGAAAAAGTTATGCAGATCCGTACAGCTTTAATGCGAAGTACGATATCTGATTGCTCGGTCGGTGCTCGGTATAAAATTTTGCGGAGCATTTGAATTGGCGCTACGGGGCCGCGACGAAACCGAGAGCTCCCAAAACCCGGAAAGATTTCGTGGACTGATTAATTTTTCTGCTGAGCTTGATACAACCTCAAGCGAACGCATAAAAAATGCTTCAATATTTAAAGGGACTTCGAAAGAAATACAAAACGATCTACTGGAATGTATTCTTGAAGTTTGTCATGAAGAAATAATAAAACAGATTAACAGAGGCTCGTATTTGGCGATAATAGCAGATGAAACAATGGACATTTCGGGGAAAACCCAACTGGCAACAATTTTCTGATACGTATTTAAAGGCGAACCAGTAGAACGTTTTTAGTTAATAGGAAATTTCCCTAACAAACTGATTTCACAAAGCTATGATGGAGCCGCGGTAATGAGCGGACATAATGCTGGAGAACAGGCAAAAATTAAACAAAGATATCCATTTACTCACTATGTGCATTTCTATGCGCATCAGTTAAACCTGATTATGTCCCAAGCTGCTTCTGCAAATGCTCAAGTTCGGGTGTTCTTTGGGGATTTGAAAGATATTCCGGGATTTTTTAATAATTCTCCCCAACGCGTACAGGTACTGAACAGAATTGCGGGGAAAAATCCCCAAGGAGCAACAACTCGATGGAATTTTAATATTCGAACAATAAATGTAGTGTTTGAGAACAGAGAATCACTCATTGAATGGATGGAAGAAATAGAAGAAAATTTCACTAATGAAACCGTTTGCAAGACAGCTTGCGGTGTTCGCCGTATGTTAAACGATTTTGTTTGACATTTTTTTCATCATGTTATGCCTCACGTCGACATCTTGTTCAACCAGTTGCAGAAGAGAAAAACCGAGCCAGCGCAAGTTAAAACGGCTATCGATAATTTTGGAAAATGTATTGTCGATGTGAGAAATAAAATTGATGACATAATAAATGAAGCCAAAAGTATTTGCACTGAGCCCCAAAGCAACAAAAAGTTTGCTGATGACAAGTTGGAAACTACCTGCTTGGCTTATCCCGAATTAGAAAAAAGTCGTTTAAAAACAGAGTTGTCTTTTATTTATGCACGGAATGATTGCCGAGATTTACATGGAACTCTGTCAACATTTTTGTTACAAAATAGTTTTTAGGAAACACTAAAAGAAACAAACAAGCTATTAGAAATTATTGTTCAACTCCTATGTTAACATCAGAGGCTGAGCGAAATTTCTCAACATTGATAAGAATCAAGACTTTTCTTCGTAATACTATGACCCAAGATCGCCTTACAGCGTTGTCGATGCTGTCCATTGAAAAGGAATTTATTTCGACCACGGAAAATTTCAACGGAAAGGTGTTCGACAAATTTGCTGCCAAGAAGGAGTGCAGTATCGAACTGAAATATAAAAAACAGGTGAGTTCGGATTTGCAGAACACCTGTTTTATGTTGCCACGAGCCGCCACTGGTATTAACTATGTAAAATAAAATTACGAGAAGCTCTTTTACTGCAAGGTATGACTGAAATGTTTGTTGGTATTGATAGCTACTATAAAAGTAAATTGGATAATGTTGAAGAATTTACAGTCAATACAACAATTTGTAAAAGGAAAACACCAGTGGAAATGATTCGCTAGAATACACAAGATCAAGAAATCAATCTGTAGTAGTTCTACGAGATATACCAAAATTGATGTCAGTCAAAATTATAGCAAACAGATGTGGAAAATGTTGAAAAACATTGTTTCTCCTATCAGAAGAAATACATTATGTAAAATGAAGTTCGACGATGGGTTAACGACAAATGAAAAAATAAAATACTGCAAAAATAACGAATTGGTTGAATGTAAATAAACTAAAATTGACTGCTTCTAAAACAAAATGTATGTTAATAGAGAAATATCTCAATGAAAATATTATCACAGTTAGGATGAACCTTGAAATAATTGAAACTGTTGAATCAATTGAATACTCGGTATACAGGGTGTCCCAGAAGTCGACGTCAAGCCGAAACCGGGTGATAGGCAAAGTCATAACAGCTATCAGAAAAATATTTAAAAAAATTTTATGTATGTGTTTTGAAAATTATAGGTCTTTGAAAAAAATATAGAAATTTCACACCCTACGGCAGTCTGTCAACTCCTGTTATTATAAATATGAACTTTTTTTGGATTTCATTTTTACAATGTAATGACGAATAATGCATCTTCAAACTGGTGTCTCAACCTTACTGCCAACCTTTCTCGTTCAGGAAAAATTGCCACTTATTTCCCAACCAAGTATTCCAAAGTAACACTTTGCTCAACTTTAACTGGCTGTACTGGAAAAAAATGTACTACGAGAGTTTGGCGAGTAACCTTAAAAGTTGGCACATTTAATAAGGATTCCAAAATGGTATAACACTCAGAAGATTACTCGTTAACTTATGCACAATTTTTATTTGAAGAAAAACTGATTAAAATTTTTCAAAATTTTCTAATTAAACAGCTATTATGAAAACGCACAAGGACCCTTAAGGGTAACTGTTTGCACAACAGTGGGCGTCAAAATGCTGCTGATGATGATTTACCTTTACAGCAAATGCTCAAATTGTTTTCCTTCAGCCGCAATACACGCTCGACATCTTCTTAAAAAAGATCGGGTTATTAAATGAGCGAATCCACGGTTATTAACAAACTCAGCTGCTTCCAATAGTCTTTGCCGTAGCTCAGCTACATTTTGAATCGGCTTGAAATACACTTTTTCTTTTACAGTTCCCCAGTAAAAAAAAATCTAACGGATTCAAATCTGGTGACCGGGCTGGCCACGGTATTGTACCAGACCGCCCTATCCATCTGCCTGGAAAGTTTTGATCGAGATACTCTCTCACTGAGAGTGCATAGTGCGCTGGGCAGCCATCATGCTGAAACCACATGTCCCTGTAAATACTCAGTGGCACGTCCTCCAATAAATTTTCTAAATGATTTTGCAAAAAACCTAAATAAACATCAGCAGTCAAAGTCTCTGGGAACTCAAACGGACCGATTATTTTACCATTTAAAATTCCTGTCCAATGGTTTATCTTGAAGCGATAATGAGATTTATCTTCTCTCATCACTCGTGTAAGTTATGCAGGTTCATGTACCCATCTTTCTTAAATGTGGTCTCATCTGACCATAAAATTTTTTCAAAGAACCGTGCATCTTCCCTGTGTCTTTCTAACATTGTGCGACAAAAAGCAACTCGGGGCTCATAATCCCGGGGCACAACAGCTTGAACACGCTGTACGTGGTATGGATCGAGCACGTTTTTTTGCAAGATTCTATGGGCTGTACTTTTGGGCACACCTGTTTTTAGTTCTATTGCACGCGCTGAAGTACTCGGGTCTTCTTCGACAGCTCCTAGCACCACGTCTTCGTAAGGAAGGAAAGATCTTCCCTCACCGTGTGATTGGTTTGGTAGTTGGCCCTCTGAGAACAGTAAGCGGTGCACATTTGTGAACACTCGATGATCTGGATGACGAGCTGCATGCGGGTACCTCTCACAGTAAAGTCTCGCTGCAGCACTAGCGTTGCATCTGCATTCCCCATAAATGAGGTGCATGTTAGCATATTCTTGTACGGTGTACACGGACGTAGCTGCACTGCACAATCACACTATCAAAGATAGTCTAAGGAAAGCAAATGTTGTTTTGAAGAGCAATTAAACAGTCCATATTCAAATCACAAGCTATCAACAGTCCAGTTCACGAATCCAGAATTAGTAACAGTACGAAATCAACAAGCACGACATGTAAAGATGCGCAGTAAACGAAGGAGTACTGGTTGGTATCAAAGTGTGCAATAGCAAGTAAGTGATGTGCTTCATCCATACCATATACAGCGTGTTCAACCTCTCCTTCCCCGGGATTATGAGCCCCGAGTTGCTTTTTGTCGCACAATGTTAGAAAGACACAGGAAAGATCCACAGTTCTTTGAAAAAATTTTATGGTCAGATGAGACCACATTTAAGAAAGATGGGTACATGAACCTGCATAACTTACACGAGTGGCACGTAGCAAACCCACATTTGATGAGAGAAGATAAATCTCAATATCGCTTCAAGATAAACCATTGGACAGGAATTTTAAATGGTAAAATAATCGGTCCGTTTGCGTTCCCAGAGACTTTGACTGCTGAAGTTTATTTCAATTTTTTGAAAAATCATGTACAAAATTTATTGGTGGACGTGCCACTGAGTATTTACAGGGACATGTGGTTTCAGCATCATGGCTGCCCCGCGCACTATGCACTCTCAGTGAGAGAGTATCTCGATCAAAACTTTCCAGGCAGCTGGATAAGGCGGTCTGGTACAATACCGTGGCCAGCCCGATCACCTGATTTGAATCCTTTCGATTTTTTTACTGGGGAACTGTAAAAGAAAAAGTGTATTTCAAGCCGATTCAAAATGTAGCTGAGCTACGGCAAAGACTATTGGAAGCAGCTGAGTTTGTTAATGAAAAATTTTCATCAGTTTTTTTTCAAATAAAAATTGTGCATAAGTTAACGAGTAATCTTCTAAGTGTTATACCATTTTGGAATCGTTATTAAATGCGCCAACTTTTAAGGTTACTTGCCAAACTCTCGTAGTACACTTTTTTCCAGTACAGCCAGTTAAAGTTGAGCAAAGTTTTACTTTGGAATACTTGGTTGGGAAATAAGTGGCAATTTTTCCTGAACGAGAAAAAGTTGGCAGTAAGGTTGAGACACCAGTTTGAAGATGCATTATTCATCATTACATTGTAAAAATAAAATCCAAAAAAAGTTAATATTTGTAGTAACAGGAGTTGACAGTAATTTCTATATCTTTTTCAAAGACCTATAATTTTCAAAACACATACATAAAACTTTTTTAAATATTTTTCTGATAGCTGTTATGACGTTGTCTATCACCCGGTTTCGGTTTGACGTCGACTTCTGGGACACCCTGTATATTATATTGATAGTAAACTAGAGTTTGAGTTTTATCATTATTTCAAAAATTGCCAAAAAGCAAATTACTTTTATAGTGCTTATCATAGTCTAAGTACAACTATCTTGTCCATTGCCAATGAAGCTGTATTCTCAAAATTACAAGTCCTTCAAAATAAAGCTATGAGAATAATATTGAATAAAAATGAGTAGATCAAAATAAAATCTATGTTACAAGAATTGCGTGGTTGAATACAAAACATGACATATCTTTGGTTCTTATTTTTATATTTAAAATAAAAAATCATATTTGCCGCATTTAGTACACTACATAGAATTGAATTACCACAATTATTATACAAGATTTCCATTTACAAAAATCCAATAGTAATATAACCAGCAAATCAATATTTCAGAAAGGATTACTTGAATTTAATAAACTAAATAATAATATAAAGTCTACTTGCAATTTAAAGATATTTAACAGAAAAGTAAAGGAATATTCCCTGGATAGTGAACATGGTCAGAGATGCAAATTTTGTTTTTCTATCTGTATGTTATGTAATTGCTGTAGTTTTTCAAAAGTATGTAATTGCTAAATAAATCTTAAAGAAACAAAATAATGTCCTTCAAGAAAAATATAAATTGGCGATATCTTTACCTGGGAACACCCTGCGTGATGTTCATACTAGCTACCCCAGCAAAATGGAAAGTTTTCAAGGTCATCTGGGTTCCAGGTTCGCCGATACTTTGGGCTGCCAGAGCTCCTACTGCTGTACCGGGTTCGATGATAGACCTGGTGTACTTTAGACCGCACGTCTCGAAGAAAGTGACCAGTTGACTGCACGTCAAGCGTTCTATCTCGTTCACAATACTGTCGTATCCGTATTTCTTGTGAACCGAGTCCACCTTATCGGCTACTTTGTTCATGAACGATCTGAAAGTTACATTGATTTATGGTAGTGGTGCGCAGTTCCTGAAGAAATGTTTGATTGCGTTCCAAATTATCGGGAACGAAAAGGGAGATGAAGTCAAATTTGGGGGAGTTATAGCTTTTTTGGTTATGAAACTGGTACCATTAGGCAGCCCATTCAAAATCCAGTGAAACTTTACAAGTTATAGATGGACCAGTAATTGAATACTAGTTTTTATGGCGATTACTCTATGGCAACAGCATCGATTAGCAAAAACTATAAATATTTCTCTGTCTGTAATAGAGGGGGTTACCTGACAGACGCCACAAAAGTTGTAACTACGACATTATATCTGATAATCATTCTTTGATTTGAAGTTTTCTTCGTGATTAGTTGTACTTCCCTGGCCTATTGACTTGACTGAGAAAATTAGCACCCTGTTTGAATTTTGTGGGATATCTATGCCCAAAGTTGCAGTACGTAGTTTAAGTTTTGCATATACAGGGTGTTTCAGTTTATTGTTGCATAACTTTAAGATTCGATAGAACTTTTAAAATTAATGCATACAGTCTATATAAACATGGGTCGAAAAAGCGTGGCTTCCGAAATACAGGGTGTTTAAATTTACTTTCTAAAATAGTTTTTTTTAAATATTTCGAACAATATTTGATGTATACTAAGTGACATATAAATCCGAACACCCAGTTTAAATGGTTTTATTTTAATAAAAGTTGGTGAATGTATTTATCTTACTGTAAATAACAAGTGAACAAATTTTCAGCCTTATCAGTTGGACACACAGTTTTATACTGTTTTTTTTTTAATTCACTAACGCTCTAAAAATGAATATTTCGGCCGCAGTAAAGAATCAACGTTGGCGGATTTTGGTTCTTGACATCCTTTACGATCGGTTACGATGCCTAGAGTACGGAGACCTGTAAGATTTCGTCAACTTAGTGATGAGGGGCCGTATAGTGGGACTTCGGGAAGCTGGATTTTCTTTTCGGGCAATTGCAGTTAGAGTGCAAAGAAGTGTAGACACTGTGGTTAGGTGTTGTCCGGCATGGCTTCGAGAAAGCCGTACGCAAAGAGCAAGGGGCACTGGACGCCGCCGTAGAACAACAGACCGTGAAGATCGCCGCCTAAGATTATTGGCCTTAAGGGACCGTTTCTCCACTACCAGGTCCATTGCAAATGAATGGTTTGCAGAACACGGAAGACCTATTGGCATGCGAAGTGTTTACCGACGAATGAGAAGTTTTGGCTTGTTTTCATACCGGCCACACTGGGTCCTCCCTTTAACTCGAGAACACCGACGTAATCGCCTTGAGTGGTGCAGACAACGGTCACTCTCGGACCAGGAATGGAACAGTATTGTCTTTAGTGATGAGTCTCGATTTTGTTTAGGCATGCACGATGATCGTGCCAGGGTTAGAAGGCGACGTGGTGAAAGGAGGAATCCACAGTTTTTTGTTGAAAGACATGTTCATCACACTGTTGGAGTTATGGTTTGGGGTGCTATAGTTTATGGTTCCAGGTCACCTTTAATCTTCATCAGAGGTAACATGAACGCGCCGCGTTATATCCACGAAGTTCTAGAACCCCATCTTTTACCCTATCTTGACACCCTGGCAGATCCAACTTTCCAACAAGATAATGCCCGACCACATGTTGCAAGAGTCACAATAGACTTCTTTCAACATAATGATGTCACATTGTTACCATTGCCACCAAGATCTCCCGACTTATCCCCAATTGAGCACGTGTGGGATATGATGGGTAGGAGATTGCTCAATTTGCAACGTCCTCCTCAGACTCTAGAAGCACTTCGAGAGGAGTTGGTGGTTGCCTGGAATGAGATACCATAGGAGGACATTGAAGCATGCCTAGGCGCGTTGGAGAATGTGTAGCACATCAGGGTGCATCCACACATTATTAAAGGTCAAAGGGCTTTAAAGCAGTGCAATCATTTTGAAATTTTTACCATTTACTTATTATGCTTCATTAATACTTATATAAAATTTTATTAAAATAAAACCATTTAAACTGGGTGTTCGGAATTATATATCACTTAGTATATCATCTCAAGTGTTGCTTTCAAGTATTGCAAACGACTAAATTAGTTAAAACAGTATTTCGCGCAATATTTGCATGAATGTTTCAAAAGAGTAATCCTAGTAGTTTTCCATATCTACAGGGTGGCCCGACGAAAAGGTCGCACCCTTATTTGGTATATTTTGGGAAAAACGCTTTTTAGGTGAACGTTTTTTTTATCTATAGCCGTACAACACAGGGTGATCAAAATATAAGCTATTGCGGTACACTTTAGATTTTTAAATGGAAATCCCCATTTGTTTTTTAATCTTTAGATTCTACATGAAGTTTTTAGTAACTCTGTATTATAAAGTTTATACCTATCTTCAATCGTCGTGAAGCCATTTGAGTTTAACTAAAATTCTAGCAATTGAATTTATTCCTAACATTTTCAATCATTTATTTATTTGTCTACATTCAGCCGTAATCCGCTAACAAAGATCTTTAATGGAATCTGGCTGCGTACTAAAAACCTTATTTCGCAAATACCCCCAAAGAAGGTAATCCAAAGGACTTAGATCAGGACATCTCGCCGGCCACTCGATGGGGCCTCATCTGCCGATCCACTGATTCGGAAAATGGATGTCCAAAAACTGTCGTAGTGCGTTGGAAATGAATGTAATTCTCATTAAAATCAACGGTATACTATTGTAAGGAATGACAGAAGTGATGGTCGAAGAGAAGGAGGAGTTTTAAATTGGTCACGACAGGAGTTCCAAAAGACTCTAGTCTTGAGTGTTTGCTAGTCAGAATTAATTTTAATAAGAAAATGTTCTATGTGTTGTTTATATTCCAACAAACGAAATGTCTGATACATATTAGAAACTGAAACATTTTAGATAAGGAAGTGGATGTGATAATTTTAGGAGATTTTAACCTACCATTTTACATTACACAAGGCTGTGAAAATAGCAAGTTGTTGAATAATTTTACGAGTTTATATAATTTGAATCAGATTAATACTGTGCTTAATGTAAAACAAAGGCAACTTGATCTTATACTGTCAAATATGTCTTGCCATGAATCAGTTTATACCGGTACTATTGAAGAATAAAACTAGTAATGTTTACAGTAAGACTATATCTATGATTACTTGAAAGAAGATTTTTAGAAGTTATACACTCTGTTGGAAGATGTCGACTGGTCAGATCTTTAGAAAGCTGAAGATGTGAATATATGTACTGACTTATTCTATGGAAAGGTTTATGGATGTTTAGACCAAGCGATACCCAAAAAAGCAGTCAAGAGAGCCACATATAATGGTGGAAATTATCCAATTTACTTTTCTTGGCAGTGAAGAAAAACATTGAATTGAAAAATCGTCTTCACAGACAAATTAAGAAATGTAAAGCTAGCTAGAAAAGTACAGTAGTTTAAGAACCACATCAAGCACCAAACTGTACAAGAATGTCAGGGTTATTATGAGGCAATTGAACTTAATGTCGACACTCATCCCAGCAGCTTCTGGGACTTCGTAAGGTCTAAGCGTGCAAAGCCTGGTATTCTTATATTTATATTAGCCATTTTTTCCTGAGTTGGCTGACAGCGTTCATGCAAGATGTCTCGAAAGTGTGTAAACAATCCAGATCAGTTTTGTTACGTGTGTGGTGATGTGACTTTTGCGTCTCAGAGACGGTCTATTACTCCACTAATAACAAAGGCATATCAGCTCTATTTCGGTTGTAAACTAGGTGATCAAGACAAACAGTGGGCACCCCACATCTGCTGTAATACATTAGCTTCAAGTCTGAGGAGCTGGTTAAATGGCAAAAAACGGTCTATGCGCTTTGCTGTCCCAATGGTTTGGAGAGAGCCTACCAATCATATTAATGATTGTTACTTTTGCATGGTACCTTGTGTTGGACAAGCCACAGGTATGTCCAAGAAAAAAAAATCGGTTATTAACTACCCAAACATACCATCTGCGATGAGACCTGTGCCTCACAGTGACGAAAATCCTATTCCAAAACCCCCAGAATCCTACACTCGCGAATCAGAAAACGAATCAGATCATGGCGATCGAGTGATTCGTCAGGAAGAAGATATGCCATCAACGTCAAGAGATCCCGATTTTATACCGAGCACGTCATGCCACCAACCGCACAAAATAACACGGTCAGAATTAAATGATCTTGTAAGAGATTTAGAACTTCCAAAATGTAAGGCAGAGTTACTTGGATCAAGACTGCAGCAGTGGAACTTGTTAGAAGACGATGTTTCGGTATGTGTTTTTCGTAAACACCACAAAGACTTACAACCATTTTTCAATATGGAGAATAACTTGGTTTTCTGCAGTAACATTAACGGCTTACTGGCGGCTTTAAATATAAACTATAACCCAGAAGAATGGAGATTGTTTATAGACAGTCCAACATTGAGTTTAAAGGCAGTGTTATTGCATATTGGAAACATTTTAGCATCTCTTCCTGTAGGGTATGCAGTTCACATGAATGAATCATAGGACAATATGAAGTACCTATTGACATGCATAAAATACGATGAGCACCAATGGCATATTTGTGGCGATTTGAAAGTTGTTGCACTTTTACTTGGGCTGCAGCTAGGCTACACAATGTTTTGCTGTTTTTTGTGTGAATGGGACAGTCGGGCAAAGGCACTTCATTACACCAGACAAAACTGGCCTGTTCGTCAATTCCTAGAGCCAGGTCAAAAAAATGTACAGCATATGCCATTAGTAGATTCGAAAAAACTTTTATTACCACCACTGCATATCAAGTTGGGCCTAATGAAAAACTTTGTCAAGGCATTAGATAGAGATGGGTCAGCTGTTCAGTACCTGCGTCAGAAATTTCCAAGACTAAGTGAGGCAAAGGTTAAAGAAGGTATTTTTGTTGGGCCACAGATTCGAAATATTTTGAAAGATACACAGTTTGAAAACACTTTAACAGGTATTGAAAAAACTTCTTGGAATGATTTCCGTCTGGTGGTCACTAATTTCTTGGGAAATAGAAAAGCTGACAACTATAAAACCCTTGTCAAAAATATGCTGTCATCGTATCAAGAGATGGGCTGTAATATGTCTCTTAAGATACATTTCCTACACTCACACCTGGACTTTTTTCCTGACAATTGCGGAGCCGTAAGTGATGAGCACGGCGAACGTTTTCATCGGGATATTTCAACAATGGAAAAAAGGTACCAGGGAAAGTGGAATCCTTCCATGCTTGCAGACTACTGTTGGACTCTTGGTAGAGATGCTCCAGAAACGATCCATAAAAGAACAGCAAAAAGACAGCGCATATAGTGATTCTTATAAGTATATGAATCTTGTTACTTTTTTTGTATGAGGTTATGTATGAGGGTTGTGCCATTTAGTGGTTCCCAGGAGATAACCGATACCTTTGCTTTGTATTTTGGATCAGTATTTCAACAGTCTGAGAAACCAAATTTTGATAGTGTAATAGTGACGACACATTCTCCCAGGTCACCGAGACGCAAGTTAAAGCATGTATCAAAAGGTTAAAACCAAAAAGAACAACTGGTAATGATAAAATCCCTTCATATATTTACAAAGGGTGTTCAATATTGAGTGCGTCATTAATGACAATTTTCAATCGGTCTCTAAGGACAGACACATTCCTTGAAAAATTTAAAATGCATCTGTAACTCCAATATTCAAGTCAGCCAGAGATGCCAGTTTAGTTAACAATTACAGGCCTATCAATGTTCTTAATAAATATCCTGAATTTTTTGTGTCGTAGACCCCTTGCCAGGTTTTCCCTGTTGGGTAGACCCCCTACTTACCTGATATTGATTTCCTGTAAATTTCTAACTGTAGTGAAGTTTAGTGTTAAAAACACATGTTAATTTATACATTTATTAATTGAATTTAAATTAAAACTACTCAAAATAAACTTTTGTATCTGTTATGTAAAATATACGTAACATTAAATAAACAGGTGTCTGATCAATAAGTGCCCGCATTGGGAATAAGTGCCCGCATTGAAAAAAAAATAAGAGGGATAAAATAAAAAAAAAGTTTTTTACTTAAAACAGTACAATAAGCGAGTTCGTTTATTATTTTTAACATAAACGTATGTTCTACAATAATTTCACTGTTAGTTTGATTAAATTCCGCTTCTTATACGTTTAAGTTATCTAAAAATAGGCAAAAAATTAACGAATTTTAGTGTGTACCTATCCTTGAATTTTCAGAATAATTAAAAAAAATATTTTCTATAAAAGGGGGTTCTTTGAAAAAATCAATGCGGGCACTTATTCCCAATGCGGGCATTTCTTGGTCAGACACCAATAAACATAAAATAAACTATAAATAAAATAACATAAGCAATAAGTCAATATTTTTAGTGAGAAGGATGAACCTGCTGCTTTAATAATAAATTATCAACATTTGGCGTCAATTTTGTAAGGGTTAATCTTAAATCTCCTCGGCTAATGATGTCCAGTCTGTTTCTTTTTTTCGTTAGGAGATTGGTAACAGCGCTGAACCCCCTTTCCACTAGGTATGACGATGGAAAGGAAATTAAAAATTTCCTCGCTATATTCCATAATACGGGATAAGTAACGGGTGTGTTGCTTTGCAGCCAGAATTGCTGATATCCGTTTTTAAACTGAACCTTAAGTTCTTCGTTTGTACTTAGTTCAGTCAGTTCCTCTTGTAATATGACATTCGTTTCTTCTATGTCACCATATGGATTAATTATCCACGGTGGTATTACCACAGTCAAAATATCCTCAAACCTAGATTCAAAATCTGAATAGAGGGCATTTAAATGTTGAACATAAGTTGAAACGTCGTCTTCCTGGCAGCCTGTCTGTGACAAATTGGGGAACTGAGAAAATTCGCCCCGTCCAATATTTTGCTTCATTAGTTTAACTCTGGCAAGAAACGCTGATAAGATGGACTTTGTTTTAATCAAATTTAAACTGTCGCCTTGTAATTCCAAATTAACCATATTAAATTTTGTAAACAAATGTGTTAAATAGGCGATGTCTGTTTTCCGCTTCATTAAATTTTCTTTTAAAATTTTATCTTTAGTATCCAGAAATTCTAAAATAATAATGCTGCATTATCAGGTAAAGTTGACTGGTCCAGTTGTATAGAGAAATGGGTCGTTTGCAAATAATTACATAAGAAGCTTTCAATATCAGAACTCATTTCATCAATACGTCTTTCAACAGTATTGTTGCTTAAAGGAATGCTTTTAATGACATCAGATGCAGGTTTGTGTAAAACAGTTTTTAAAACCTCTTCAACGGCTAGCAAAATTAACTTCTCTCCGATAGTATGCGGTTTTCCGGATTTTGCTATAAGTAACGAGATATTGTAAGACGCCCGCAAACCATCATCATTTCTTTGTGACGTCGAAGCGAACATTCTGTCCAGTGTAGGTCTCTTCTGAAATTTATCTTTGAGTGTTTGAAAGTATTTCAAATGTTTCTCTGTTTTATCAGGGTGGCATCTTCTCAGATGATCTTGCAGTTTAGATGGTTTCATAGCGTCATTGCCCAAAACTTTGTTGCATAAAAGGCAGATAGGCGATTGTTTGCCCGGCAATGATGGAATGAAGCCCAATTTCAAATAATCAACACTGTACTGTCTACATTTCTTTTTAGATTCGGACATGGCATCAGTCATCTGTGGGCAAAATTAAATTATTTAAATAAGACAGAAAATCCAGCAGCTGTATATTAAAAATATTTTTTGATTTTTCCGAAAACATTCCATAATTCGAACATCTTCTTGCAACAATTAGCTCGAATTACGGAGATTGCACTGTAATTATATTACCGATTGCTAAAACTTTCAGAAAGAAACTATTGAGGAGTACTCGTGTAATTTTGCATGATTGAATATTTAACTACTAATAACTAAAGTCATGATTGGCGTAATTTATCTATCTTTGCTAACTACGAGTACAAAACTAAAATTTAATAAAAAATAATGTACTTACTTTTCTCCAGCACTCTCAAACAAAATAACACTGACTCACTATAATTTGTGTGTCTGTTTATATTTTTTAAAATATTTTCTTAGCACTTTCCTTTTCAAGATTCAGGAAACGAATAAACGTATTTGTCCCACATTCGTATTTATAGAGTGACGAATTGAACAAGTCAGTGCAAGGTAGCGAAGCTCTGAGACTGCGACTCTCAGGTTTTTACAAGTTCAAAATGTATTGCGACCACAAAGCGAATACCAACATCCTACAACTTACACAATTTTATAAACATATATAATAAATTTTTTACTTCATAGGTACTTTTATAAATAATGTATATGTTTCGATATTAAAGATAGTATGATGTAAGTAAATAGGTACTATCAGTGTATGTGTTGAGCTCCACTATCGTGGACCCCCATATTCATTTCATGCACCCCCAAATTTTTTTTCGCTGACGTAGACCCCTTGCAGGTTGTCATAGACCCCTAGGGGTCGATATAGACCACTTTAGGAATCAATGATCTAGGGTGTGGTCGATTCTGGTGAAAGATGGCTCTTATTTCAATAATGGAATATCACTTACACTAGCTGTTTCCGGAAATCTTCACTGCATTCATCAAGCGCCTTTGTCGCGATGAAGGCCTGAGTAGCTCTACGTATCTGTTCGCCGTCTAGAGCCACTTCGTTTCTATATGGACACTTGGCTCTAACGCACGCCAACACCCTGTCAAAATCCACCGGACAATCTTTGCCTGAAAGTGAATTTCAAAATTACGCAAAACCATGATAACACGCCTCACCGACATAAATAATGGCAGGACAAGGATATAAATGAAATGAAGACAAAAATTGATAGTGATATGCAGTCAATCAAAAAATGGTGTGTCACTAATTACTCGACTGTTAACCAGACAAATTTTATGAGATTTAAATGGTCCCTTTATTTTATAAATTTAAAAAATGGATTGATACATAAAACAGACACCAAATTTTTGGGATGGATTATTGATCATAAATTAGATTTTACTGATCATGTAATACCTACGTATTTCGTAGCCAGTGTCAACGACATATTGATATTATTGGTGCAAGAATATGAATCCTGATAAATTACTATTTAAAACATGTCGAATTTCCAACAAAAAAGAAGAGTTCTACCATAACTGTCAATTACTTACGAACACGGTTTTAGAGGACTTGAGGAGACGTATGGACGATACGAAACATACAGTGACAGTGTTTTTGGACCTCAAAAGGGCGTTTGAAACTATTGACAGCGATACATTACTTACAAAATTCCATCGCTGTGGATTTAAAGGATCCGTATTCGATATTCAAAATTCTACAAAACTACTTGATTGACTGAAGTCAAAAAAACAAAATTGGATCTAGAATCTAGATTATCAAGCTCAAAACATATTTCTACTGGTGTACCACCAGGTAGTAAGCTAGGTCCACTACTATTTATCTTGTACAGTAATGATATTTGTAATATTTCAGATTGTTCTATAAGATATAACAAAATATATGCTAATAGTGAAATTCTGAAATGAAATTACTATCACAGAGTAAATGGTAAAATAATTGAAAAGATTGATTCAATTAAATATTTAGGTATATGTCTTGACAATAAACTAAAGTTTGAGGATCACTGTGAATACATTATCTCCATAGTCTGAGTACATATTCCAAAAAAATAGTTTATAATACAAATAGTCTACAGCATTTACTATATTGTTCAACTATCTGCAAAATAAAGCTATGAGAATAATATTGAATAATATGGGGTTGTCCAAAACGAACGCAGGAAAGTAAACGCATATTAAAACAAGAAAGATTGATATTCAAATCAAGTTGGGTACTTTATTTTGAAGGTTCATTTATACCATTTATGTATGAAAAATAATATCGCTCAAATGTTCACCACGACTGGATTTACAGACGTCGACGCGATGGTCGAAATTTTCAATGACATTTTGCAACATGGTCGGTTCTATGGCATTTATCTCGGCAATGATGTTGTTTTTGAGTTCTTGGAGGGTGGCTGGTTTGTTGACGTAGACTTTGCTTTTCAAATATCCCCATAAAAAGAAGTCCAAGGGAGTCGAATCGCACGATCTTGGTGGCCATGGCACATTTCCTCTGCGCGAAATCACGCGACGACCGAAGAAGGACTGCAATCGATGGATATTGACGTTGGTTGTGTGGCATGTTGCACCGTCTTGTTGGAAATAAACATCGTCCATATCAATTCCTTCAAGTTGCGACAAAAAATAGTCCTCTATCATCACGTGATATCGCTCAGAATTGACGGTAACGGCGTCCCCGGCCGCATTTTCGAAAAAGTAAGGTCCGATGACGCCTTTTGACCACAATGCACACCACACAGTCACTTTTTGGTGTAGAAGCTGAGAATATTAGGTCTGTTCGACCTTTAAAATTTTACATGATCTGAGTTTAAACCGGTGTAAGCCAGGTTGGTTTCTATCTTTAATTTAAATTTAATGTTTTAGTACGAAAGGATTAAATATTAAAAATAATTTTATTAGGAAAGGGTAAAATTATTATTTTGGCAGAATAGTGCGATACATTTAGAATCTTTATATGTAATTTATTTTACAAATAATACTTGTATTTTAAAGATTTATTAATAATAATATTTTCTAGATTAATTTTACTAATTTGTGTTTTGATTAGAGTAGCTTTTTTAACTTTATTAGAACGAAAGGTTTTAGGTTATATTCATATTCGTAAGGGTCCTAATAAAGTTGGTATATTGGGATTAGTTCAACCATTCAGAGATGCCATTAAATTATTCACTAAAGAGCAAACTTTTCCTTTAATATCAAATTTTAATTTATATTATTTTTCCCCTGTAATAAATTTTTTTTTATCTTTATTTTTATGAATCTGTATACCTTTTTTTCTGTGAATTTAAGATTCAATTTATCAATAAATCGGCTGCTCTTGATACTCACGGGGATTTTCGTTCGCCCAGATGCGGCAGTTTTGCTTGTTTACCGTCCCATTCAAAGTGAAATGCGCTTCGTCGCTGAACATGATTTTTGATGAAAAGTTGGCATCAATTTGGCGGTGTTCAAGGAGCCAATCTGAGAACGTTCGGCGCGAAAAATGGTCGGCCCGACGCAGCTCTTGCGTCAATTGGATCTTGCAGGCGTGTACATTCAAATCCTTGTGGAGAATGCGGAGCAAACTGGTTCTCGAAATGCCCAATTCTTGGGATCGACGCGTTGTTGATTGTTTCGGATCGTCTCTCACACTCCCCTTCACAACAGCAATATTTTCCGGTGTGCGAACGCTCCTTGGCCGGCCAGAGCCTGGCAGATTTGCCACAGAACCTGTTGCCTCGAATTTACGCACCAGACGACCGATGTTTGTTTCGTTTGGGCGGTTGTTGCGACCGAAATGTTCACGAAGCGCGCGAAACGTGTTTTTTATTTTTGCACCATTTTTGTAGTGCTCTTGAATAACTTTAATGCGGTCTTCAATCGAATACGACTCCATAGCGATCAATGGTAAACATTCAACTAACAAAATGACATGTCGGTGACAGAAAACAAAGATGGCGTCTATGTCAAATTGACGTTTACTTTCCTGCGTCCCTATTGGACAACCCTTTATAAAATAAAATCTATGTTACAAGAATTGTACTAGTTGAATATAAAAAATGTCAGATCAAATTTGGTTCTTATTTTTATATTTAAAATACGTAGAATACATAGAATTGAATAATCATTAACCACAATTACTATGCAAGAGGAAATGGGTATTTCTCAGCAAATTCCGAAATTCGTGTCCTGAGCCGATGATGCTAAGTTGCATGGATTTATCATCAATTTAACATTTTTATTATATCAATAAGTATCTACACTAATATTTTGAAAGCAAAAGATTAGATAATATATTGACACAAAAAATACGATTAATTTATTAGTATAAAAGTCATTCCCTTATCTTGTCCCTGAGTCCGAAATTAATAATAAAAAAATATCTACAATCAAATCTGTTCATAATCTTATAAATTGAATATTACTAAAATATTTTGTACAAAGTATGGATTGTATAGACAAGCTTTCATTGCTAAAAAAGTAATAGATGACGCACCCTGTAGCTGGGAATATGTAGTATAAGAGATAGACATGCCAACGTTAATTAAAAGGGGGGCTCTACGTTATCAAGGATTCTAAAAGTAACATTGAGTCTGACCAAAATGTGATTCAAGACTTACAGACCAAAACGTAGTGAGATTAATCGATAATAAGAATACACAGATACTTTAAGTTTAATTACCTTGTTCAACTTTCTTTTTCTTTTCATATTAATGAAATTAATTTAAAGTTTTGTTAAATAAATATAGTAAAAATATCCCCAATTTAAAATATATCAATGATTGAAATTAGAAGGCTATAGTTTCCCAGTATGCCAGTAGCTCTCTAAAGTGTAAAACAGATTTAAATAATAATAATAATAATAATATTTATTCACTCAATGTACCACCCAATAATTTAAGTTGAAACTGTAGAATGCAAATGACAAAAAAGGACAAAAATTAGCTACAGTAAATTATGTATTTAGTTGATGTTCGTATTTATGAGTTTATGAATTTCAGTCCTAGATATAGAATGTAGCCACTTTTTTAAATTTCTTTTGAAACAATTTCCGAAACGTAAATCTTTTAAATCTTTAGGTATAATTTCATAAAATTTAGGCGCTAAATAGACACATGATCGCTGCATTATAGATTTATGCGGTTGAGGAACTACTGTGCCACGAATTTTGTACCTGGTATAATGATTATGTTTAATTTTTTGGTCGGTGTTTACAAATTTATGGTAGTGAGTGATACTGTGTAAGAAATAAAGCTGTCTTATATCATACATTCGAACATCTGCGTATAATTTTTCAGTGGGATAAAGTTTCGGTTTTTTAAATATCATTTTTAGAATACTTTTTTGAAAAACACCTAAATTATAGATATGTGAGGAACATGCAGCTCCCCATGCTAATATACCATATGTGAGATGAGGCTCAATCAGTGCATGGTATAATGTTCGAAGATATTTTTCTGTCAATATATTCCCAAGGTATTTAATTTTATAGGATACAAATCTAACTTTCTTTAAAATATAATTGACATGGATGTCCCATCGTAAGTGAGGATCCAAGACCACTCCAAGGTATTTTATGTTGGGCACTCTATTAATTTGCATTTTTTGATCATTAATATTGAAGGAGAAATTTGTGTAATTTGGCAGATGTCTAGCATAAGATCCAAATGGTAAAAAATGTGTTTTAGAGTAGTTAATGCTTAATTTTCTACTGTTAAACCACCGAATAATTTTGATAAAATCATTTTCAATTACATTTTTCAGATCAGACCAGTCAGTGCCTTCATATAATATTGCAGTATCATCTGCAAAACTAGTTATTTTGCGAACACAATTAATTTGGAAAATATCATTTAAATATATATTGAATAACAGCGGACCTAAGACAGTTCCTTGTGGGACACCACACTTAATATACATTTCTTTACTAAATGATCCTGATATCTGCACAGATTGTGGGCGATTTGACAAATAACTTTCGATCAGTGAGTACGCGTTTCCTCTGAAACCAATTCTCTCCAATGCTTCTAATAATAATAATTTGTGATTAACTGTGTCGAAAGCTTTCTTTAAATCAACAAAAATGCAGATTGAAGGGATTCTGTTATCAATATTTTGATATATTTGATTTACAATTTTAGTTATTGCGTCCGATGTAGCCTTCCCTTCTGTAAATCCATATTGATTTTCACTTAAAATTTTGAATTTTGTGAGGTATCGAATCATTCTAGTAGATAAAACTTTTTCAAAAACCTTTGCTACACTGGATATTATTGATATTGGTCTATAGTTGTTAAATACAGCTATTAATAAATTAACTTATGTTTTTTATAGAAATTCAGCATCAAATTGTGGTAAAAATCACTCCCCCATCCTATCAGTCATTCCCTCACTTCATAGTTTTTAGAAAGTAATTTTTCTACATGTTATACTCAAAAATACGGAGGACCTTCATTTTCAATGAACATCGCTAAAATTGAACATTATATTTCTATTAAAAAGGATATATTTACATTATTTTTATTTAAAGAAATGCAAAATGAAATTTCTAAATTTGTTGAGAAATACCCATTTACAAAATTGCAACAGTAATATAACTAGCAAATCAATATTTGAGAAAGGATTACTTGAATTTAATAAATTAAATAATGATATAATGTCTACTTGTAATTTGATGATTTTTAAAACAAAATTAAAGGAATATTTCATGAACAATTAACTAGAGATGCAAATTTTGTTTTTCTAAGAATCTGTATGTTAAGTAATTGTTGTAGTTTTTTAAAAGAATGTAATTGTAGCAATCAAAATGTGAAGAAAGCTATGACACCTCAATACAACATTAACTGAATAATATCCGTGTCTCATCCTCAATCAGTAGCATAGAAGCTTACCATCCATTAAACCTTTCTTGTGCACGCCACTGCTTTTGCCGGCATATTCATTTTTGCTTATGGATAAAGAAACTTCAAAACAAAGAACAAGTTTATTCCGAAAATAAATAAAGTTCTGTGTGTTCAATGCTTATGATGAACGTCTGAAATCTTGAAACAGTATCTTTACCTGCTCCGTAGATATTTTTTTTCAATTTCGTAAATTGAACTTTTTTTGTGATTTTTGGAATATTGGCAGGGTCTTTCTAAAAAATGCTTACCTTCCATGTACGTTGGATCTAACCCATCACAGCCATAAGTGATCTGAACTATATCACTTTCAGCATTTCGCACAGATCCATCATAATGTACTACTAAATCTTCTAGCGACTGCAAAAATAAATATATTCAAACCAGCTAATCTATTTACCTTGTTTCCATTGATTAACGTATTCCACCTGATGAAATCAGATACTATGCCGTCTTCTATACCACAGTGTCACAACCACGTTTCTTCTCTCCGCAATAATTAGAAATCTACTTAAAGGTTAGTATCTCATATAGTCAACGCCAAACAAAGTGGCGTGCACGTCATCAAGGTGGGTGTGTTGAAAAATTTACATTGTTGCCAAACTTTTTGTAAAATAATAAAATTTATTATTTACATATCTAGGTTTATAAGCAATATTAACCTCAAATGAGAACAAAAATAATAGTATAATAAAATTATAGATCTGTACTTGCATAATCATTAAGTATGACAATTATTGATCAGATGACACTATGAAACTACCATATTTAATTGATAGCTTAAAGGTACTGAATAAAAATCCAAATGGGGTCCTCCAAATTTAATGCATGGTATTTATTTTACAGAATTCATACAGAAAAATGCATTCTAAAATTAGGTAAGCTACTGGTGTAAGCTTTTTCTGTACAATAAAGTTAGTCGGAGTTTCTTTCTTCAGCGCTGTCTGAATCTGAATCTTCATCACTCTCAAAGTTGATTATTAAAGGTTCGATGTCTGGTCGATCAAACATTCGTTCTCTTTCATACCACTTAAAAATTTCTTGCTCAGTATGTCGAACACTATTTTTCCACATGTCTGGGGTAACCGTTTGTAGAGCCTCGTTCCACATATCCAAACAGTCTTTTTCACTGTTACCATCTCTACCAATATGTCTGTTATAGTAACCTTTTGCTATCCCCAAATTAACTCAATAGGGTTAAATATACAATGGTAAGGAGGCAGACGAAGAACTTTGTGCCCATGTTGTTCCGCCAATTCATCAATCACGTATATTTTAGGTGGTTTGTTTCTAAAAAAGCAGTTATTTTAAGAATAGGAATAAACAAAAGAAATATACTCTGTCGACCAAAATATATATAATTAAGAAGCATTATGTACCGAGCAACAATACTCAATAGCTCTGTTTTAAACATTGTGTTTAAAAATGGTATGTTTTGATTTGTCAACCAGTCTTGGATATTTTTTTTGTCCATGCATTGTTGGGCACTTTGTTCAATATCATGCTGTGATAAGGGGCGTTATCCAGTATAATCATAGATGGACTCTCCAATTTTTCTAATAACTGATGTTGAAACCATTTCAAAAAATTGTCCTGGTTCATCTCTCCATGGTAATCGCTCAATTTTGTTTTCGAAGAAAATATCGCTTCACTACCCTCAATAAACCCATTTTCATTTCCAGCATGTAATATAATGTATCTAAAATATATTAGTTTTAAATTTTATAGTGCAAATTGGTTTCCATTTTGCCAAGAGCGACCTATGTTCCCATTTTGAAATATCCAAGTTTCATCGAGGAAGACAAACTGGTATAAGGCCTCAACCTTGGCTTGATTGTATTGCCTTAGAAATTCCACCCTTTCCAAAGCTATACTTGGTAGTTCCATGAGCCCTCGTCGCGGATTGTCCTTAAGCCACTTAAATCCAAGATCTCTAAGCAACCGCCTTAAAGACGTGGCACTACCATCAAATAATGCCCTATCTCTTAATCGAGACCATAAAGTTTGTATCGCAACTTGTTCTTCTGAAACCATGTGTAATATGACATTATAATTTAGTTAACAAATTAATGCAAATTTCTGATAAGTTATTATAATAAGATCTTACTTTTGTGATACATATTATAGATCACTTCTCGAATGGCACTTGTATCCAATGTCGCTGTGTTGGTTACACGTTTAATATAACTCCGCTTTTTCTTGGGCGATTCTAAATTTGCATCACTTTTCACACCCTCGGAAATACGACTAACTGTCCTTAAACTAATTTTTAAAGCAGCAGCAACACGCTACAAAAAATGAAATAAAATTTCACTATTATTAATATACATTACATATAATTATTAGTAACCTACCTCTTGAATAGCATTTAAAGGCAACAAAGGCCCGTTGTTGTCCCTTTCTTGCTCAAAGTAGTGCATTAACGAGGCCACGAGTTCCTTACACCGACTATTTAACTGTTTGGGCATCTTTATATACCAAAATTGCCTTTATCTACTCGTAAAATGAATAATTTTGTTTTGAAACAAACAGTTGTTGATTTACAGTATGCGGGGCCAAAGGATTTATAAAGATTTGAAATGCCACAAATTGATTCAGTGTTAAAATTAATACAAATGTCAGTTCCCAGTTTAAATAAGTTTCAAGGTGACAATGTGTCAACGCTGCGAAATCGGTTTAGTGCGTTTACATGTCGATAAGTGATTGGAGCGTTTGCAAAACATTTTATTTCGCATAATGCGTCTAAATTTATCAGAAAGCAACTTATGTGATATTTTAATAACAATGTTTATATGACTATTAACCATAATAAGAGAGTAATGACCATTTTACAATTTATATATCACATTAATATGAAACTGCAATAGAGCAATTGTTTGTGATAGAAACCTAGGCATTAGGTCGGGGAATTTTTATCGTAATGACGTGCACGCCACTTTGTTTGGCGTTAACTATAGATCGCGCTGTAGCCAACCTTTTCAAAAATGATTTCTAATTATTACGAAGAGACGGAACATAGTTGTGACACATTTTCATACAAGGTGTCCCAATATTCCGTGGACAGAGAAGTACCACGTATTTGTAGACTCAAAACAAGTTGGGAATGATTTACTACTATTGTAAATTCTGGTTTTATTGGTGAAAGTCGTTCAAGGGGGTATTAAAAAACATGGACGCATAAAACGGGTACACCAATATTTGCGGGTAAACTTTTGATTTGACAACGAAGCATGAGAACCCGTGTTTTTTGGGATTCAATCGAAAGTGTTGATAGGAACGAGAAAACGATTCAAATAAGATTTTTGGGTATTTATGAGACCTAGAAAATGAGAGCACACGTAGAAAGATCCGACTAATAGCAAAAATGTTATGGCCTAAAAATGAGGCAAAATGCAGATTTGGCACTTGTTGGTAATCCGCAGGATTCATACTTCGAAATAACAACAAAATTGGAGTATATTGGTCAAGTAGTTTTTGAGAATTTCAAATTGTTTATCCAAAAACACCTGTTTTCCTGTTTACCTGGCCGATATGAATCACAAACCATTCCGAAAGGTAAAAGTTATTTTTATGCGAAAAACAAAGGGTAAGTTTTTTCCTCTAAACAAATTCAAACATTTCATATTCGTGAGTAACTGATCAAATGCTCTTCGATATTCGAAAAACATACGTTACTATACGAATTTTAAAACAAAGCGGATGTGTCTATCATCTTTTAATACGGATTGCTTGAATTTGTTTAGAAGAAAAAACGTAACCCATCCTTTTTTGCATAAAGATAACATTTATCTTCCGGAATGGTTTGCGATTCCTATCGGCAAGGTAAACTAGTGTATTTTGCTATAAAATGCCCTTTAGACTAACCCTGTATATTGCTCAGTAAACTAGTAGTGATGACCGGAAAACAGGTAGAAATTCTCAATCTATAGTCAACGCCAAACAAAGTGGCGTGCACGTCATCACGATAAAAATTCCCCGACCTAATGCCTAGGTTTCTATCACAAACAATTGCTCTATTGCAGTTTCATATTAATGTGATATATAAATTGTAAAATGGTCATTACTCTCTTATTATGGTTAATAGTCATATAAACATTGTTATTAAAATATCACATAAGTTGCTTTCTGATAAATTTAGACGCATTATGCGAAATAAAATGTTTTGCAAACGCTCCAATCACTTATCGACATGTAAACGCACTAAACCGATTTCGCAGCGTTGACACATTGTCACCTTGAAACTTATTTAAACTGGGAACTGACATTTGTATTAATTTTGACACTGAATCAATTTGTGGCATTTCAAATCTTTATAAATCCTTTGGCCCCGCATACTGTAAATCAACAACTGTTTGTTTCAAAACAAAATTATTCATTTTACGAGTAGATAAAGGCAATTTTGGTATATAAAGATGCCCAAACAGTTAAATAGTCGGTGTAAGGAACTCGTGGCCTCGTTAATGCACTACTTTGAGCAAGAAAGGGACAACAACGGGCCTTTGTTGCCTTTAAATGCTGTTCAAGAGGTAGGTTACTAATAATTATATGTAATGTATATTAATAATAGTGAAATCTTATTTCATTTTTTGTAGCGTGTTGCTGCTGCTTTAAAAATTAGTTTAAGGACAGTTAGTCGTATTTCCGAGGGTGTGAAAAGTGATGCAAATTTAGAATCGCCCAAGAAAAAGCGGAGTTATATTAAACGTGTAACCAACACAGCGACATTGGATACAAGTGCCATTCGAGAAGTGATCTATAATATGTATCACAAAAGTAAGATCTTATTATAATAACTTATCAGAAATTTGCATTAATTTGTTACCTAAATTATAATGTCATATTACACATGGTTTCAGAAGAACAAGTTACGATACAAACTTTATGGTCTCGATTAAGAGATAGGGCATTATTTGATGGTAGTGCCACGTCTTTGAGGCGGTTGCTTAGAGATCTTGGATTTAAGTGGCTTAAGGACAATCCGCGACGAGGGCTCATGGAACTACCAAGTATAGCTTTGAAAAGGGTGGAATTTCTAAGGCAATACAATCAAGCCAAGGTTGAGACCTTATACCAGTTTGTCTTCCTCGATGAAACTTGGATATTTCAAAATGGGACCATAGGTCGCTCTTGGCAAAATGGAAACCAAAAAAGCGTGAAAGCTATTAAAACAGATGGTAAAAGGTATGTACTTTTACACAATTTGCACTATAAAATTTAAAACTAATATATTTTAGATACATTATATTACATGCTGGAAATGAAAATGGGTTTATTGAGGGTAGTGAAGCGATATTTTCTTCGAAACCAAAATTGAGCGATTACCATGGAGAGATGAACCAGGACAATTTTTTGAAATGGTT